TATTTAAATTTAATTGTACTAAGTATCTATGTAGTTAAATTGGAAAATTTTGACATAATTGTTTGCTGATTATGATGTTTTTCATAAGGTTACAATTTTATACACAATTTCCTATTTCAGTAATAATTAAACATTTATTTAAAGCATAAACGTAAACTAATTTACCTAATACAACAAAAAAAACTATCGTCATTTTCATAGTAACAAGGTAACAAATAATTTTGCAACTTTTCAGTGATAAACAGTTTGTACAACACATTTTTCAACAACAACAACTAGATATATGAATTATATAATGCGATTTTTTCAAAATTCTTAGAGTGTTTAACAAGCAATTTTTTTTAAATATAGAGTTGGAGAATCTTACATAAAAATTTAAAATAGATAAATAATCATCTATCTAAGAAATAAAAGTTCATACAATTTTAATATCACGTGAATTAGTATTGGAAATGATATATATATATATTTATATATATTTATGAAAGACAAGGTAGTTAACATGAATCTGTAAACATAGGTAAATAATTTTAAATAACATAATGTTAACATCTAAAGTAATTAGGTCACACATTATTTTATTATTCAGTAAATAACATTTGCATAGATACATTGGAGAATACGAAGGCACTTAAACGTTTGGGCAACAAAAATCAAAATAAAATGCTTACTTAAAAGTCTCAAAAATACGTTTTTTGGTCGGAATTATAGCCATTTGTTTTATGAAGATGCTAATAATAAAACTAAAGAAAGCCATAAATACTTAATTTATTTTTATTTTTAATAAAATTGTAAGATTCATTACAGTTTTATTTTCTTTTAAAGTAGGCAACAATTTCTTAAAGAATTTAAATATTGTTTTTTTTGCTTAACATCATGCTTCATAATTTTAATGCTAATAATTCCTAGTATTGTAACAAGATTTATTATTATAACTTAAGCAATAGAAAAAATATCAATCAGTTTTCAGAAGACAGAATAATATAATTTATGTGTTTAGGTCATTAATTTTACGAGACATTATTGAGAAATTAAAAAAACATTTTGCATTGGTGTTTAAATAAATCATATGCAATATTAAAGCAATCTCTATTTTAGTATCAAATTAAGATAGAATTAATGGTTAAATGCATAACATCAGGGAATGCAATGCTCATCATTTATTAATATTTCATAGAAAATTGTTGCCTACAGTTTTCTTTACAAATATACAAGACTAGATAAAGTTGTTTTCAAATTCTAATAATATCGCTATGCAGGACCACTATTTTTTAGCCTTCTAGGCACTGAAATGATATAAAAGAGAATTCAGCATTCTCAAATGCATATTTAACACTTGTAAAGTTGCCAGGATAAAGTGTCACAAATCTTGAAGAAATAGAACTTCTTACGTAATGCCAAAACAAGTTTAGATCTTTTTAAATGACTGAATTACATCAAGTTCACTTCTATAATACATGTTAAGATTTTCTCAAAATAAATTATACTTCATTGATTGGAAAAAAACTAACTTCATTTTCAATTGAGTGATGCATAATTTTTAGCACTCTATATCTTCTACACTCTGAAAAAAACTATTTAAGTTCGAAATTGTGTTCGAGTTGAAATTAAGTTTCTAATATTGATACTGTGAGCTATAGTGTTAGGTGAATTTGAAATAACCTTTATAAAGAGTTTAAATAAAACATTTTGTTTTGTAAGTTGAAAGAAAGGATCGTATATTTCGTCGCAAAAAATGTTTTAAAGATTTGACCTCTTAGGAAGGCTGTCATATTGTTGTTTGTGTGATTTTATGGTTAAATTTCTGATAGTTTCAGAAATGTATTTTTTAACATACACAAAAAAAAAACACCATTTATGCTCCAGAAATATTTGTTTTTATAAGTTGTAGTATTTTAGAGACTATACTCATGAAACATTAGCAATGAAACATTTCTTTGAAACATTAGCTGTATTTAAATTTCTTCGGTATCAGAAAAACTGAGAAAATATTTTTATTGATGATGACTTTTATTCAAGATATTTTTTAATTACATATCTAAACAAATGTTTTTATTGATTATCCTTTCAGTTTTTAAAATATAATTTTGTCATGAGGGATTTAATCAAAGCATTAAGAAAATTTCTAAATTAATTTCTAAAGAAGTATGATGATAAATTTTCGTTCTAAGCAGAACAAATAATTAATACCATGGTAACCGGACATGCCGAATAAAGAATTAATATTAATTATATACCATGGTTTGTCACTTTGAAATAGATATTTTTAATGTCTGCTCGAAAGGAGCAGGTCAGAGTCATATCTGTTCAAAGTAGAAATAATAGTTTTGTTTTGTTACAGGGTTAACATGTTACTTTAAATAAGCTGTACATGTACTTAATATGATTCAAGTAACATGTTACTTGAATATGATTCCTCTCTTCGACTCAGTAATTAGACTTCAAATGTTAATTATAAGAAACTAACATCACATATTGCCCAAAGCAAAAAAAAAAAGAATTAAAAAAAGAGAAAAAAAGAAAGGAAGAAGGGAAAAAAAGTCAATATTTTCTAGAAAATTGTGCTTGAAATACTAATATGCTTTGTTATCAAATTGAAACATTAAAAAAGCCAATCGGGAAGCATTTCTGATGCCAAAGATTACATTACATAAATATTTTTGAAAGAGTACATGAACTATATTCTGTTAACAGGAATTCCTGGAATATAAATAGGATTTTTCGAGTCCATTTATCACATATAAATGTCAAATTTGGGAAGGGGTCAAGCCATTTATCTAAGCACTTCTGCTTCTTATTTTATTTTAAACATCACAGAAATCTTCATGACAAACGAAAAGAAGTCTTCGAACTTTTAAGTAAATGTGACACTTTATGATCTATATAGTTACAATGGCCAAGCACCAGTTAAACGGTGAAGGAATAGCCTTCCATCTCATTATGAATAAAGTTCCTAAAATTCGAAAAACTATTCTTATAGTGTCTATGCAGTTTACATCTATTAGTGAAAAAAATGTGTAAACTTTAATATGTGTTCTCTATCTTAATTTCTAGAAGTAAAATAATTCAAAAGTTTGGTTTTTCAAGGAAAAAGAAAACACCTAAATTATTATTTCCGTATACTCTTTAATTGAACAATGAATGTAAACTAAAACAAAAATGACTAAATTTGTCAGAGACTAAATTATCTAAAATGTAGTTTCAGCGAGCGAGAATTCGAATAGTAGTCTATGTTCATGTTCAAATAGTCTACAGGCAAATAGATTATAGTAATGTACTTGAGTATGAATAAGTTAATAACTAAGAGAAGAGTAGATCGAAGCATCAATGTATACATAAGTAAATGTATATGTATATCATCATTTTTATGGACAAATTCTGGAAGAAACCGGTTTTATTTGTGGACATTTGAAGAGACGGTGCATTGAAAAAGAGCATCTAGCGAAATTAAATTATCATAGCTTGTTATTGAGTTGGGAGCTACGACTATTTCTGGTATATACTCCGTGTAAATATACTCCATATACCCATATAAATACTGTATTTACTCCATTATCTGGGTGAATGGAGAAATGCACCGTCCCTTTAAATGTTCTTAAATGAAACCGGTTTCTTCGAGATTTTTATGGACAAATTTTGAAACAAACCGGTTTCATTTAAGCACAATTGAAAAGACGGTGCATTAAAAAAGAATATCGCGCATTGAAGTAGCGAAATAAAATGTTCTCTGCTTAATATATGCTACATATTTATGTGCTGCAGTCATTTTCTAATGGTGAAATACGGCATATTTTTCTTTATACGGGCTTATGACTAGGGAAAACTTCCATTAAGCCTTTATCCCACTGTAGAATAGTTTCATAAAAACAAATTACTTGATTATTCTTATATAGAACATCTAAATATGATAATTTTTGTTCCGTTCCGTCATCGTGCGAAAGGTTGCTTAGTATAAAAGAGATTTCCCTCTGATCCGCAGGCTACGTTCATTCGCTAAAACACTGCGTGCCACCCATAGAATAATTTCTTTATACGTATGCAGTATGTTGATCTAGTTGAGAGTAATTTAGATAATAGCGAAGGAACAAAAAAAAGCATGAATTAATTAAGGTAAAAATTTTTTCGTCCTTTTTCATTAAACTAAAACAGTTTAAAAATCGAAAATAATCTCCTTACTTGTAAAAAAAATTTCCATCATTCTAACAGATTTTGTTTTATTCGCTTAAAAAATGTATTTTTCACATTGAAGTGTTTGTTGCTCGAAAATCAAGAGGTTTGTATTTTAATAATGAATTTTTTTTGATACATTTAACAATTGGCCTTTTTAAAGAACTAAATTTTATTAAATAATTTAGTAATTAATCACAAATGACAATCCATGTTTGCATTAAAATTTGATCTGTCTATTGTAGCAGTTTTTTTAAAATATATATGAACATACATTATGAGAAAATGGTATTAACGTGTTTAAAAGAATGTTACTTTAATTTGGAATTTTCTTTATTCTTAGGAAATATTAATTACAATTTAGGTATCTATTTCAGTAGTTCTTTGTTTAAGGATTCAAACAATGTTTTATTTCAAATAATAACAAAATGGAAAAAGAGCTTCTAAATTAAAGTCAATGAATATTCTTTCATTTTTAATAGATTTATAGATATTTTCTAGAAATCCAGTCTTTTCTTTCACTTAAATATAAATTAATTGTTCTTTAGTTCAATCGTATAATTCATCACTAATGCATGTACATGTTATCTTATCTAATATATTTATTAGAAATTTAAATTTATAAATTTTTGAAAATGAATTATTTGTTCTGATAGTCAATTATATATTCTATTATATTATTTTAATACAAAAGAATTTCTTCTCAAATTTAACTGAAGATAGCTAATTTTTTATATTAAATTTAAGTAAAAGATAATTTATAAATGAATTTTCACTTAATTAGTTTTTACTATCACGTAAAAAACACTGAACGGATTTTTTCCTTTCCCCCCCCCCGTTCTTTTCATGATTTTCCGTATTTTTAGCTATTAAGATGTTTTTTTTTATTTACATCAGCTTTATTCAATTATCGATCTTTTTCTTCAATACTGTCAAATGATTAGAATATTTTGCCCGAACAGATGCAGGAATATACAACATCTCTTTTATTGAAATTAAAATTAATCAGCTATTTACTAACAAATGGAGAATACGGTATTCCATTTAATTTCCATCAAAATCTGTAAGAATGGGATCATCGAAACCTCTCTAGAAATTATTGGGTGGCCCAGAAAATGATTTTGGTTTTCTATTGTGAAATAAAATCAAATTTTCATGATCCCATGATGATTGATAATCTTATCAGCAAAACTTATCGGTAAAATCAACTTATAAGTAAAAAACTTAATCGAGTGTGATTTGAGGTCATCGTTATTACTGAAATTTTTACAATTTAAGAAGCTTTGTAAACTTTGAAATAAAAAAAAATGCACCAGAGTAATTGTATTCTATCACGACAATGTAAGGCTTCATATATATTTAGCGTGCAAAATCATTGGAGATAAGTTGGGAAGTGATGTATCGCCCTCCATATAGCTCCGACCATTCACCAGTAGATTACCATTCATTTCGAAGTTTACAAAACTTTTTCAATGGTTAAAATTTCAGTGATAAGGATGACCTCACAAATGGAACTTTGTTGAGTTTTTCTGATAAGAACTAGAAGCTTTAAGAGCGTGGGATCATGAAGGTCAAAAGGTCATAGAACAGAATGGAAGATATTTGACTGATTAAAGTTAATTTATCTGCATACAAAAATTTGCTTTTTATTTCACACGTAAAGCTAAAATTTTCACCCCATTATGTTAACCGAAATTTAACCTCCTTTTCCAAAATGATGTGAACGGAACTAACATTGGTTTTTCAAAGCACCGGCTCATACCGTGAATGGGAAGAAATGTCTTGGCCAAAGAGTAGCCATTTTGTGTGAACAGTATACCATTCAAAAAATGCAAATTCCTCATTGAATAACACAGTTACTGAGAAGGTTATCAAAGAAACCTCTAGGTGGTTCTTCGGGCGATTTGCTGCCATCGATTCCGCTGTCTTCCCTGATGGCTTCAAGACGTGCCACACCCTCTTCCACTTCCAAAATCGAGGCAGTTCCAGGAAGTAAAGGACTCCTAGACAGCGGCAAGGAATCCTTTTGTAGCAGCAGTCACCTTTGAACAGGCACTCGAATAGGCTTGTTGTCCAGAATTTTCTCAATTTCGTTGATGAGGCCCGTTGTTAATCTTGGTAGCAGCTTCGAGAAAAAGGAGGGGGAAAAAATCATTAAAAAACATTTGTGTTCTGTGCAGTAGTTCCCAACTAGAGATGAGTTCGAACTTGCTTTTGGAGGTCCGAGCCCAAAGAATTTTAAACAGAGCCCACCTCAGCCAACAGAATTTTAATCTGAGCACGAGGTACTAAAGATTACTTAAAGCCTAAATCCGTTCGAGCTCGAAATATAGGTTGGAAAAAGGCCAAAGATTGAAATTTTCCGGTTTGACCACTTGAACTTTGATGTTTAAACAAAGAAATTAGTCATTAAAACATTTTTATTACTGACCAATTAAAAAAAGCAAAAAGAAAAGCTTAACCGTCTGAAACTTCAAGATGACTAAAATAAGAATTAGAAAAGTAAATCAAAATCTTAAACTAAATAAAAGTTATTTAACAATTAGTGCTCTCATAAAGCGAAAGTACTGAGCTGAAATAGTATATAGCTGTAATTTTTTATACCTCTAAAATATATATTTTTATATTTCATAACTAAACCAAACGTTTGTTTAAAAGTAGTAAAAAGATTTTTCAAAAATTTTAGCCTGAATCCAATTCCACCCAAACCCAAATCGTTTTTTGGTAAACGAGCTCATCTCATTTCTATTCTCAACCTTCTTAGTTCTGACGAAGACTAAGGTTCATTAACTAATAAACATACTAGTTAAAAATATTATGACAAATATACATCTATTATATGCATTACAGCCCAGTGCCGCTCCGTCCACGGTTCACTTGCGGGCCACGGCCGATAGGTTGGGAACCACTATATTAGAGCACTGTTGTAAAAAATAACTGAATCGATAGATGAGGAAACAAAAAATATCGATTTTTAAATGAAAAAAAAATGTACCTGAAGGGCATGTAAGTGTTCATACAGTTGCTCAGGTGTTGAAGCTCCTACTAACACACAATGAACATTTTCATTTTTCAGGCACCAAGCTAGATGGAAAAAAAAATTCGTTTGTTAAAATAAATGAAATAATTTTCGTTTAATTTAATAGGATTTAAAGAACAATTGGCAACTTAATTTCTAAAAAGTTGAGGTTGCTCGTAACACAGTACTTCTTATTTATATGAGAATAGTAAAATGTTATGAATTATGTAAAAAAGTAATTAAATAAACGTAAATAAGTAGAGAACTATTTTATTGTTTAACTCTTTAGGAGACTCCGCCCTCTGTTCGCTTCGCTCACCAACCTCTGCGGTTACTTTTCATTCATCATTGAAGAGTAAGAGGGATGAACGGTTTGTATCCATTTTTTACAAAAATTACGATTGGATTACCATCTGTCACAATTCGAAAATGACCGAATTTCGATAAAACAACAACATAAAAAATCGGTACCCCCACGTCCTAAGATTTATAACTCAGTGAAGATGTACCGTGCTGTATAAAACATTTCCTGTCAGTGCGCAAATTTGTTTTTCTCGAAATCAGCTTTATTGGACAAGAAGCCGGTTTTTTTCCTTGATATTTTTAAAATTTTTTTTCTTCTTAAAGGATAATTTTGTTTACTAAATATATAATTATTATAATTATATCTAAGCATATTTTATTTACATGTTAATCGTAACGGAAAATAAAGAGACGCATTATAGCAGCCAATCGTTACCCTCGCGGCTTAAGAACATTTCTAAAGTCAAAATTAGTCAAAAGACGAACAAAAATAATGCTATATATAACAATCATTAGAGTTTTAACTTATGGATTGGAAGCATGGTCATTAACCAAATAACAGGCAGACCTACTTGCTGTTTTTGAGAGAAAAGACTTGAGAAAAATTTTCGATCCTATAAATGTGGATGACTTATGGAGGCAACGACATAATTATGAGCTATATAAGCTATTTAAGGAGGTTGAATTTAAAAAATACATCAAAATAAGTAGCTTAAAGCTTGCACGTCACATCTATTGAATTTTAGAGATTTTTAAACTTTTTTATTTGAAGCAAAACGTTTTTTGGTAGTTTTTTTGACATAAATTTTTCCGCGGATTTCAAAATATGCAATATATTTTATAACATAAATTATTTATAACATAAAATATTGCTGGAATTATGTGGTGAGAGTGTTAATAAATAAATGATAAATTTAAGTTAGATCAAACGCAATATACAAGGTGTCAAGTAATCATTACCCTTAACCTATATTATTAAAATCCTTGCTGAAAACAAAGCAAAGAAATGCATACAATAAGCTTACATTTCTTCAGAAAGAAAAGTAATTGCATATTCGTCTTTATTTTCAAGGTAGCTGACTCAATTATGTCCTTTATTTTACAATAATATTTGGAAATAGGTTAAAATTGGATGAAACTATTCAATGTATTTTATTTCTGAACGATATATTTGAGATCTTATTAAACAGCTAATTAAGACAGTTATTTATTTATTTTTTTTTTACAAAAAATTTAACTCTTGAGATGAGAGTTAACAGAATCAATCCGCCATTCAAATAAAAGGCTTTACGGCATTTGAGATAAGAGTTAAGAGATACATTACCTATCGTAAGTTGAGTTGATGTGCAACCAACTTTTTCTGCCAGTACTGAGAGCTCTTGGAGCTTGGACTGGTGACGTGGACTTCTTCCTTCTTCTGGACAAGTGCTCTTGTCTTGCATTGTATAATTCTGGAGGAAATGAAATAAATTAACGTGGTTTTAGCACAAAAATTACTCAGATACTCAACCTAGTTTGCACTGTCTGAAATTTTGAAGCTTTTTAAACCATAATAAACCTTTTAAACCTTTCAAATCTTCAACCGGGATAAGGTGTTAAGCTGGATCGCATTATCGTTCAATTTGACCTTACACGATACTATAGCTCAACTTGAACGGAAACGTTGCTTAACAGCATGTCAAAGTTGCAGAAAATTCACGTCGTATAATTGTTTAATTTTAAGTTTAGCACTTTTAGGTTTATGCGTTTTTACTCATGTACTTTATACTTCTATGCTTCTTTGTTGTAAGTTTGTGGAATGTGGTAATATATTGTTTGGAGGTTTTACTAGCCAGCTTACTTTTCGATGTTTTTCTTCTTTCACTTGGATGTAGTAGCATTATATGCCGATAGATGGCGGTTGGTAATTTTTAATCAAGTTTAATCTGAGATTATGAAAGTAACGACAGAGACTGTATGGGATCAGACCAAAACAGTCGATTTTCCAGACGCATTCGTAATTTGTGTTATGTGCTTATACACAGGGACCGATCAAGACAAATTCAGGCCCAAGGTCCACCAAATTTCCCGGGCCCCTTACAAGATATTTTGAAATTAAATTACTGAAGAGTAGTCTTATATTAAATACGTACCCTATCTTAAATATCCATTGAAGAATAATCTACTGAACTGCATGATTCAAGAGAAACATTATAAGGAATTTTGAAGGCAGACAATTGAAGATTAATTTTCTAAGATAAAATTTACGTATCTATAAATTAAAGTAAAATATAAAACAACAAAACCAATGTTATATCAAAATAAAAATAGTTTGGTGGCCACAAACAATTGAAATCAGTGATTTTTGCTAAAAGGCACTGATTTTTATTTAATACTGTCTGTTGTAACACTGTTTTTTATTTAATACTTATACCAACACAAAGCTAGCCCATCTTTCATTAGACTTTTTACTAATTTTTGAGGCCCCTCGGAAATTGTAGGCCCTAGGCCAATGCCCATTGGGCCGAGGCGATAATCAGGCCCTGTTTATACATAAATCAAGTGTTGTGTAAATATAGAATTAATGGCAATACAAATTAATTGAACATAATCCGCCTTTCCAAGCAACATAGCGAAACAAAGAAGTCATTCTAGTCAAGTTGCTTTTTCGTGTTTTTTAGCTTCTTCTTGGTGCTTAACTTATTTAATTGATGAATTTATATACAGGGTGTGCTGTCATCATCCTTTATATATGTTTCTAGAAGCCTGTTCAGAAATGGAGTAAAAAAATAAATACACTATTAGCTACAAATTAGTATTTAACCGAGGAAAAGGTAAAAAATCTATCTAAATTTATGAAATCACTAATGAGGAGGGCGAGATAAGACAATAAAAACCAGTTTATTGCCTGATGAAACTTGGATGAGTTTCAAATAATCGCACCTCAATACTTTGCTGCAGCTGTCCAGCAAGAGAAACAGTTTCTTTCATGTTTTCAGTTTCGTCCTTCTCACTAGTGATTCGACAGATTTCAATGGCTTTGCTGTGTTTTTTCTTGAGTTTTGACATCTAATAAGCGTAGTTTTCAAATTTTATTTTGACCATAGAAAGGATTCTAAAAAGTTTATGCTAAGAGTATTTATCTATGCGTATATTCGAATTTATCCGGTTTCGTTTCAGTTGTAGTTCTATTAACCAGTGTTACTTTAGAAGACAGTCCATAAAATGTTGCCATCAATTTAGAGACATTTATGATCTTCAGTTAGGACTTCAAAATTCTCCATGATTTAAATAGTACGTAAAACTAAAAACATCTTACATCAATAGGGGAGAGTGGGGTCAATTGTAACAGGGTACGATTGTAACAGAGCAAAATTTCGAGTGTCGGGTTCTAGATTTGGTTCCTAGGTGGCGCACAAGGTGTATTTAATAAATCTACATGTACACCCCTGAAGGCAATCATTTTTATGTACTTTTGAAAGAATTAGATCACAAAAGATATTTTCACGCCACGCAAGTACTTTTTTTGGTATTAGAATATTATATTGTAACAAAGTAATTTTGTTTAAACAAATAAAAATTANAAATTTTCGGTCCTATAAATGTGGATGACTTATGGAGGCAACAACATAATTTTTGAGCTATATAAGCTATTTAAGGGAGCTGAATTAAAAAAAAAATACATGAAAATAAGTTGCTTAAAGCTTGCGCGTCACATCTGTTGAAGTTTAGAGATTTTTAAACTTTTTTATTTGAAGCAAAATGGTTTTTTGGTAGTTTTTTGACATAAATTTTTTCGCGGATTTCAAAATATGCTATATATTTCGTACCATAAATTATTTACAACACAAAATATTAATGGAATTATGTGGTGAGAGTGTTAATAAATAAATAATAAATCTTAGTTCGATTAAAAGCAATATCAGAATCAATCCGTCATTGAAATAAAAGGCTTTACGGCATTTGAGATAAGAGTGAAGAGATTCATTACCTATCGTAAGTTGAGTTGATGTGCAACCAACTTTTTCTGCCAGTACTGAGAGCTCTTGGAGCTTGGACTGGTGACGAGGACTTCTTCCTTCCTCTGGACAAGTGCTCTTGTCTTGCATTGTATAATTCTGGAGGAAATGAAATAAATTAAGGCAGAACTTGGTTTTAGCACAAAAATTATTCAGATACTCAACCTAGTTTGCACTGCCTGAAATTTTGGAGCTTTTTAAACCATATTACCTTTCAAATCTTCAACCGGGATAAGGTGTTAAGCTGGATCACATTATCGTTCAATTTGACCTTAAACGATACTATAGTTCAACTTGAATTGAAACGTTGTTTAACAGCATGTCAAAGTTGCAGAAAATTCTCGTCGTATAATTGTTTAATTTTAATTTTAAGTTTAGCACTTTCAGGTTTTTACGTTTTTACTCCTGTACTTTATACTTCTATGCTTCTTTGCTGTAAGTTTGTGGAATGTGGCAATATATTGTTTGGAAGTTTTACTAGCCAGCTTACTTTTCGATGTTTTTCTTCGTTCTCTTGGATGTTGTAGCATTCTATGCCGATAGATGGCTGTCGGTAATGTTTAATCAAGTTTAATCTGAGATTATGTAAGTAACGACAGAGATTATATGGGATTAGACCAAAACTGTCGATTTTCCAGGCGCATTCCCAAATTGTGTTATGTGTTTACACACAGGGACCTATCAAGACAAATTCAGGCCCAAGACTCACCAAATTTTCCTGGCCCCTTACAAGATATTTTGAAATTAAACTACTGAAGAGTAGTCCTATATTAAATATCTATTGAAAAATAATCTATTGAACTGCATGATTCAAGAGAGACATTCTAAGAAGTTTTGAAAGCAGATAATTGAAGATTATTTTTCTAAGATAAATTTTACGTATCTATAAATTAAAGCAAAATATAAAACAACAAAACAATGTTATATCAAAATAAAAATAGTTTGGTGGCCACAAACAATTGAAATCAGTGATTTTTGCTACAAGTCACTGATTTTTATTTAATACTGTCTGTTGTAATACTGTTTTTTTTTTTATTTAATACTTAAACCAACACAAAGCTAGCCCACCTTTCATTAGACGTTTACTAATTTTTGAGGCACCTCGGAAATTGTGGGCTCTAGGCCTATGCCTATTGGGCCTAGGCGACAATCAGGCCCTGTTTATACATAAATCAAGTGTTGTGTAAATATCGAATTAATGGCAAACACAAATTAATTGAACACAACCCGCCTTTCCCAACAACGTAGCGAAACAAAGAAGTCAGTCTAGTCAAGTTGCTTTTCTGTGCTTTTTAGCTTCCTCTTGGTGCTTAACTTATTTAATTGATGAATTTATATGCAGGGTGCGCTGTCATCACCCTTTATATATGTTTTTCGAAACCTGTTCAGAAATGGAGTAGAAAAATAAATATATTATTAGCTACAAATTAGCATTTAAGCAAGGAAAAGGTGAAAAAGCTATCTAAATTTATGAAATCACTAGTGAGGAGGGCGAGATAAGACAATCAAAACCAGTTTATTGCCTGATGAAACTTGGATGAGTTTCAAATAATCGCACTTCAATACTTTACTGTAGCTTTCCAGCAAAAGAAACAGTTTCTGTTATGTTTTCAGTTTCGCCTTCCTCAATAATGATTCGACAGATTTTAATGGCTTTGTTGTGCTTTTTCTTGAGTTTTGACATCTAATAAGCACAGTTGTCAAATTTTATTTTGACTGTACAAAGGATTCTAAAAAGTTTATATTAAGAACATTTATCTATGCGCATATTCGAATTTATTCGGTTTCGTTTCAATTGTAGTTCTATTAACCAGTGTTACTTTAGAAGACAGTCCATAAAATGTTGCCATCAATTTAGAGACATTTATGATCTTCAGTTAGGACTTCAAAATTCTCCATGATTTAAATAGTACGTAAAACTAAAAACATCTTACATTAATATACTTACTGACGAATTGTGAAATACGGAACTATTCTTTAAAACTTCTTTCGATTTGCAAAGTGAGTCTCATTGGTGCTGAGTTTCATTTCAATAATAATTTAGATTTTTTTAGTGATAAGATCGATATATTTTAAGAATGCAAAAAGAGAGAAGCCTGATAGACTACCTACGGTTTTCCGTTTCTGTATTTTACCATACAGTCCTCATCTTATAAATGACCCTCTTCAGATTCTAATAGACCTATAGGCGAAGTTATGAATATCTAAACCAGAGGTTCCCAAACTTTTTTTTCTCGTGGACCACTTTCAAATTTTTACTATTTTCGGTAGACCCCCTGCTGCTACATTTCTACTGTATTCCCAAAACTCCTAAAAAATATCACCCTAAATTGGGGGTGTTAAGAAGAAGAAAAAAAGTAGCACATTTTCTTGTGTCCTATTTATTAAAATAACACTTGTGGTTATACAAAATTATAAACATTTATTATTACAAACATTGACAAAAAACCAACAATGAATTCTGAAATGTAAATCAACAATAAAAAATAGTCATACTTTTAATGAGATGGATGTACTTGATGAATTGGCAGCAAATTATCAATATTTGGCTTCAGTTTTGTAAGAAGTAATCTCAAATCTCTCCGTTCTGTGGTGTCCAATCTGCCTCTTTTTTTTGTTAACAGGTTGGTAACGACACTAAAACTTGTTTCGACAAGATATGACAAGGGAAACGCTATCAAAAATTTTCTCACAATTTCCCACAGCCCAGGATATTTTTCGGGGATTTCTGCCTTTAGCCAATATGTTTGATAGCCTTTTTTAAATTTCACCTTCAGTTCCTCGTTAGTGCTGAGCTCAAGTAGCTCCTCTTGTAATACCACATCCACCTCTTCCGTAAGTCATCATGCAGGGTATTTAAATGCGAGCGGGCGCACGGGCGGCACTTTGCAAGTCTCGACATGTGGTGTACACTTGTACTATTATCTATTGTTCTATTCAATTCTGTGATTGAACTGAGTCTAGAATATTTTTGAGTACCTACCTAGTAAATGATGCAACCTGCCTACGTTGATAGGTAAATCCAAGCCAAAATTTTTGTTCTTTATTATGAAAACCAGAATATTTTTCTTGGACCCCCACTTACAACTTGTGAACCCCTGTTTTCTTTTCACGTCTACGTGGACCCCCGTGTGGTCTCCTATGGACCCCTGGGGGTCCACCTGGACCACTTTGGGAACCTATGATCTAAACCATATTTTTTCTCTCTGAAATTTAAGTATGATAAATTTATCGGCATCTAATAATTGATTCTTTGGACAACGTTCCTACTACCATTAGCTCAAACATGTAAGAATCTTGCACGCTTATCATATTGAAACTTTTATGAGCGATGTCTTTAAAAGCTCACAATTAATTGACTATATTCTGAACCTTTTTATTAACTTGGGAACTTTGCTTTTAATTGTTGAAATAAAACAGTGTATGAAATATGAAATGAATTATGTAAAGACAAAACTCATATCTTGTGAATGGAACTAATAGGAATATAAGGTATACCGTAGAAATTTCTTATTTTCGTTTGAAGTAAAGCCATACAGAAGCCAGCTGGTATTGTACTACTAAAAAGTGAATTTTTGCAGTTCTTCTTCTTCTTCTTCAGCACGACAGCCCCTTGCAGGCCTTGGCTACCTCAACCACACGTAGCCTCCAACTCCTCCTGTCCATGGTGAATTTTTTCCAGTTGATTATCTTTAACACTTTTTGATCTTTAGTAGTGTAATCGAGCCATCTAGTTGAAGGTCTTCCTCTAGCCCGAGATCCCGAAGGATTTTTAAAGGTGGCGATTCGGACTGCATTATTTTCTGGATCTCTCCAGATATGGCCAAGTCATCTTAATCTATTGCTTCGGATGACCTGTACTACCTGTGGCTGTCCATAGAGTCTATATAATTCAAAGTTGCCTCTGATTCACCAACAGCCTCTTTCCTGTACTGGGCCAAAAATATTTCTAAGGATTTTCCTTTCAAAAACACCAAGAATACGCTGAGTGTCTGCGTTTAGTGTCCATGTTTCACTTGCATAGAGCAATACAGGTAGAATAAGAGTCTTATAAATCTTAATTTTAGTTTTTCGACTGATTAGGCTTGATCTTAATTACTTTCTTAGTCCAAAAAAACACTTGTTTGCCATTTTAGTTCTGTTGTCGACTTCTGTTTTTATGCTGTTTTGGTCATTGATCATTGTTCCAAGGTATTTGAATTCATTAACCTTTTTAATGGTGTAACCATTTATGAATGAAGGATCATGATTCACAGTTGTGGCTGGAGATTCCATAAATTTAGTTTCATCTTCATTGATGGTAAGGCCCATATTTGTGGCAGAAGTTTCAAGAGCCAGAAAGGCCTCTATTTTTACAGTTCACTAGTTGTATTATTATGGAAAATTTTCAGAATTTTAATTCACGGAATTTGCTTAAGTGAAAAATAATTTCAAAATACACTTATTTTATTTAATACTATAATGATTCCATCAAACACTACAGGAAAAATACCGTTTATTAATTTTTTGGGGTGGTTGAAAATAATTTTGCACGCGGAGAAAAGCAAATCTAGAAAAATTACCGTATCGAATGGTAAAATGAATTTAAAAAAAAAACAAAAACATAATTCTGGTTATTTAAACCGAAATATACGTTCTTTAAAATAATTTATTTGGTTATTTTTCCTTTTATATGGTGGTTTACCGGAAATTCTAGTCTCCCAAGTTATAGTTCCCATTGCCGCTCATTTTGTAAAAAATACAATATTGAAAAGTAAATTTAACCGAATTAATGGCTTATTTGCCATGCTTTAAGGTTTCATGATAAAATTACCAAATTTTACGTCATTTACCAAATTTTTTCATACATTATAGAGCGATATTTTTTTTAAAATTTTCCAAAATCATTACCAATGCGCTTCGAAAAAAAAAAAAAAATACCACGCTTTTTGATGTTACCACACAGTCAGAAACACAGTAAATTTTACCATGAAAAGAAGAAAAAAAAATCTTGTTTTTATAATTTCTTGATGATTCGGTATCATTAATTTACTTATGGATAAAATTGAAAGATAAGCCTAATTTAAAAATAAATAAATACAAGGAAATGGAAAACATAAATACTTGTCTGTAACTTCATATACGCTTTTCACAACAGCATGCAGATTTAGACACAGCTTTAAAATACATTTTCCCCTCAATCTTCTAAATCTACTGAAATATGAAATAAATTCTTCAATACCAACCCTGACCTTGACAGAACCCCTGGACAGGAGATGCACCCCTTCATCAAATTTTCCGGTATACATTCCGAAGGCTTGTGGTGACCAAGTCATCGTACCGATACCTGATAAAACACAAAACAATTATATCAATTCAAATTGTTTTTAAAATGTAAAGGTTCTGATTATAAATTAGGAAGAAGAAGCTGAGTCTTTGAATGTTCTTTTTCATAATAAAATTCATAGCTGTAACTTTACCAAATGAAAAGGACACGGTTAATTGCTAATGCTTTTGCATTCCTTACTAACTCTTACGGCTCATGATTCCATTTTAGGGTTGGTTTTAAAAACGCACAAATGCATCATAAATACCTTTGACAGGGCCGGGATAGCCTGGTTGCCAGGGTGCTGGACTCACGTTCGTGAGATCTGGAGATAATATCCAGCCGGCCGAAGACTCCCCGTGTAGTAAATGGTGACTGGTGCACGTTAAATCTGTTGCGCCAGAAAGTTCTTTATGTTCCCATAACAAATTATGCTTTTGGGGGTACTAAATTGGAGATTGATCGTTCTCCGGTTCAGGCTAAAATTACGTTCTGTGGAATGAAGGAATGGACATATGATTTTTCTTTTGACATATTCACCCCTTTATACTTTTTATCTTTTATAACACATAGTTTCTCCGGTGATGCCCGATAAAAAAGAACTGTCTCATCCTCTGTCTTATCTTTAACATTTCTCTAGGTACATGGTCCTCAAATAAGAAAAGTAGCTTCTCCAACCATTCTTTAACCGTGCCTGCATCCTCAGAAGTAGTGTCTCCGCTTCTTGATTTACATTTAACATTTCTTTAACTGCATAGTCCTTAAGTAAGGAAAGTAGCTTCTCCAACCATTCTTTAACCGTGATAGCATCCTCAGAAGTAGTCCCTCCGTTTATTGATTTATCTTTAATATTTCTCTAGGAGCATGATCCTTAAATAAGGAAAGTAGCTTCTCCAACCATTCTTTAACCTTGTCCACAGAAGTAGTCTCTCAGCTTATTGATTTAAAAGAAATCATATGCCTCTTTTGGAATTTTTCTAACTCTCCATTAGAAGCTTTAAAATCCCTTATTCTCAAAATCTCAGCTGCCTCTGTAGCTTATTTTGTAGCATCGCTCCTGATAATGTATATTTATTTCCTCTAACTCGAGAAAACCATTCAAAAACACATCTGCCAACTTTAAATCAAGGTTCCAAAGACATTCTGATTTATTTCTCATTTCCATTTTCGCATCCTAGTTTGATTAGTTTTTCTTGATTTTTAATAATGTCTGCAGCCTGAGTCCTTCCAATTTTAAAGTATTCGGCCAACTATCGGAAACTGTATTTTTGATGCTTAGAATATTCAAAAGCACTATTTTTTTTATTCTAAGTTAAAACTTTACGAAGCTTTAATGAACGAAAGGAGATCTGCTCAAAAATGATGATTTTTAAAAAGTTTTATCTTAAATATTCATTGAAAATAATTTCAGACGCAGCTTCAGAGAAGTGAAAATGTTTTCTTCAATTTACACTGATATTCACGTTAATTATGTGGTACAGAATAGACGCTTGTATTCCTATGTCACTTCCCCAGTTGGTTCCGATACCCAGTCGTTTATTCTCTCTAACACCTCCCTATCGCTTGTAAGGAAATGTGATAATATCTCCTTGATAGTGAACTTTTCGTGATGCAAAGAAAAAAGAACATGGCAATACTTACTTGTAAGACACCAGGCCTTATTCTTGTTTTCACAATCGATCATTTATCAAAAATTTGAATAAATGTTTGATTTACACGAACATCTCGATGACTAGATTTCTATACTCTTTTTATTTTTTATCCAAGCTGTGTTAAGTAAAATGATCAAACTGATTAGAAGTAGAAGGTAATTTTCATTGCGGAAGGGGAATTGAGATCCTTTAATACGTCATTTCAACCTGTGGGTATCAAAACTCAGCCTGTGGGGTCTTATAACTCAAGTGGAGTCCAGATGAAAAGACAACACAAGCCGCTGTTCGAAATATTTCACATGGAAAGTTCTTTCTTCCAATTTTCATTGCGGAAGGGGAATTGAGATCCTTTAATACGTCATTTCAACCTGTGGGTATCAAAACTCAGCCTGTGGGGTCTTATAACTC